GGGTCGTTAGTGATAGCTAGATTACACCTGTCGTTAGGCAAAGGTGAGGGTCGTTAGTGATAGCTAGATTACACCTGTCGTTAGGCAAAGGTGAGGGTCGTTAGTGATAGCTAGATTACACCTGTCGTTAGGCAAAGGTGAGCATGTCAGTGATAGCTAGATTACACCTGTCGTTAGTGATAGCTAGATTACACCTGTCGTTAGGCAAAGGTGAGGGTCGTTAGTGATAGCTAGATTACACCTGTCGTTAGTGATAGCTAGATTACACCTGTCGTTAGGCAAAGATGAGGGTCGTTAGTGATAGCTAGAATACAACTGGAGTCCTAGTGGCAGTGTGAGAGGTGATGGATAGTACTATAGATTGATAGTAGTGGCAGTAGTAGCAGCAAAACGAATTGCTGTGTACAGGTGACCGAGTCATAATGGAAGTAGTACCAAGGATAGAATTGCTGTCCTTCGAAAACGCGCCTCAAAGCGGTAGTAAGTAGCGGTGTGTTGTTTGTAAATGACGGCGGGAGGCTCGCGATGTATAACGTAATTTATCGTTTGTTGTCGACCGAATAATCGATTGTTATCCCTCCACGAAGAAAATCGGGTCTTTCTTCTGTTAACTGTCTACATGTTTACTCAAACTGTATATACGTGGAATATGAGATACGTGTTTGTCCTTGATGACCTTGACCCCAGCAGTGCAATGTTGGACCAAGTTGCCGAAAAACGACAAAATCACGTTGGGTTACCTCGCGCCGATGCCTCTTCCGTGTGTGGCGCCCCCTGTGAGTGTGTGGCGCCCCCTGTGAGTGTGGCGCCCCCTGTGAGCTAACGTCGTCGCGATCGCTTGCAGGTGATGTGTTTCTATCGGCGGCGTGACATCTCGCCAGCTCTGCTCATGCTCGCGGATAAACACCAGATGGCGCTGGAAGACGAGCAGGACGACAAGCTGACGGAGAAGAATCGTCATCAGCTGAGGCATCGCGAACTGTTCCTCTCCAGACAGGTAGCGTGGCGCCATCTGCTGGAACATAAAGTAAAAAACTTAGTACGAAAAAATATCTTAAAAGTAAGCGAAGATGGTAAAATGCTGGCCAGGGTTGCCGTGAGTAGGTGGGGGGTGGGGTGGGGGTGGGATGGGGGTCATGAGTTTTTTACGCGTTTGTTCTACGTCACGCGTCCGTCGAATTAGAATGGATTCGACAGTGAAATAGGTGTGAGAATGAGAGGTTATCGTGTTTTATCTGCTGTAATGATGAAACGCATCTATTTAATGTTGTTGTTTTTAGATTTTTGTTTACACAGCAAAATATTCGGGTTGTGAAATGAACTCAATGGAATTAGACTTAGATGCAGGAAGGAGAATAGAGAATCTTTGACCCCCACGTAAATATCGCCCCACCTGGTTTAAAAAAAATCTCATGCACAACATTGAAAAAGAAGAAAGGTAAGAAAGGAGAGGAAAGACTAGATGAAGGTGAGGGGGAGGAAGAAAGGGGAGGAAAGACTAGATGAAGGTGAGGGGGAGGGGGAGAAAAAGGTCATGGAAGATAGGAGAAGGAAGAGAGGGCGGCCCGGGAACGTACAATAATTAAGAACCCCCGTCGACGGAGCGAAAAATGACGAGAAAGACGACGACGCAAAATGTTTGCGTTTTTTGCCCGCAGGTGGAGACACTTCCCGCGACGCACATCCGCGGCAAGTGTTCGGTGGCGCTGCTGAACGAGACGGAGCTTCTGCAGAGCTACCTCGACAAGGACGACAACTTCTTCTACTCCCTGGTCTACGATCCTTCACAGAAGACGCTGCTAGCCGACAAAGGAGAGATCCGCGTCGGCAGCAAGTTCCAGGCGGAGATCCAGGCTCTGCTAAGGGAAGGTGAGCGTCGTGTGTGCGCGCGCGTGATAACATAATAATGACGGTAATAATAATAACGAGAGCACTCGGAGAGCACAGAGCTCTGCCAAGGCAGCTCAATTCTCTCACTGTGGAAAATTTTATTAATTAATTAATTAAATAATTAATTGGATCTGGATCACCACCAAAATGT